AATTTCCTTCAGAAATTGGAAGGTGTTTCTCAATTATCTTCTGTCCTAATTTTTTTTTTTTTTAATCCTCACCCAAGGACATTTTTCCATTTATTGTTTAGATAGAGTGAAAGGGGGGGGGGGAGAGAGAGAGAGAAACATCAACGTGAAAGGGACACGTCAAGTGGTCGCCACCCGCACGACCCAACTAGGGCCAGGGACAAACTGCAACTGAGGTATGTGCCCTTAGCGGGAACCGAACCTGGGTCTCTCTGGACCACAGACCGACGTTCTAACCACTGAGCAACCGGCCAGAGCTCAATTATCTTCTGGACTCCAGTAATGTTAAGAAATTTGAAGCCATTGTATTTCCTGATCTTAGATTCTCATTTTGAAGCCATTGTATTTCCTGATCTTAGATTCTCATTTTCTTATATTTTCTCTGCTATTTTACATCTGTTTGTGGTTTTGCGCTACTTATTAAGAGAATATCTTTTATTTTATTTTCAAACCCTTATTTTTTTGGTTGTTGTTTCTAATATCAAACTTCTAATTTCTAGGTACCCTTTTCTTGTTCTCTGAGTTTATTTAAAAACACATTGCATACTTGTTTAATCTCTTGAGAAATGGTCTTTTGTTTTTTTTCAAGTTGCTTTATTCTGTTTGGCCTTCTTCTTTTTTTTAATCCTCCCCTGAGGATATTTTTTCCATTGATTTTTAGATAGAATGGAAGGGAGGGAGGGAGGGAGGAAGAGAGCTGAATATCAGTGTGAAAGAGACATATCGATTGGTTGCCTCCTGCACAACCCGACCGGGGCCAGGAACTGAACTGCAACCGAGGTATGTGCCCCTGACCAAAATCGAACCCCTGACTCTTCAGTCCACAGGCCGACCCTCCAACCGCTGAGCCAAACTGGCCAGGGCCTGTTTGACTTTTTATCTCATCTTTTCAACTATAAAGGAAAAACATTAACTAGAGAGCTGTTACAAACTTTTAAGATATAATCTGATCTTTTAAAGCATATTTAGGGATTGTGTTTCTGAACTAGCCTCTAAGTATTTTTACCTTCTCCTGCTTTTGGCTCAGATTCTGTCATGTTTAAGTAAATGGAAACTTCACCATCTATACCCCACACCTTCCTGCAGCTATGCTTCTCTCACCTTCTTAGATCCAGAAATCTAAACCTGGATTTCCTTCTTTTTCTTTTTTTTAAAAAAATCCTCACCTGAGGACATTTTTCCATTTATCTTCAGACAGAGTAGGAGGGAGAGAGAGAGAAAAAAACATTGTGAGAGAGACACATCAACCTGTTGCCTCCTGCACGACCCCTACCAGGGAGGGATCCGAACTGCAACAGAGGTGTGTGCCCTTGACCGGAATTGAACCCGAGACTCTAGTTCACCAGCCGACACTCTAACTGCTGAGCCAAACTGGTTAAGACATACCTGGATTTCTTTTTTTTTTTTTTGGTACGTGCCCCTAGCGGGAACCGAACCCAGGACTCTCTGGTCCGCAGGCTGACACTCCAACTGCTGAGGCAAACCGGCCAGGGCATGGCTTTCTTTAATAGAGTGCATGTCAGTTGTTTTTACTGTCTCACCTATTAATCTTTTTTATAATCTGTTTCATTTTTGTTACAGATGTTTCTCCTTTTCACCCCATTGACACCCTTCTCCCCACTCCCATTTCCCCCTTCACAGTATTGTTGTCTGTGTCCATTGGTTATGCATATATGCACACAAGTTCTTTGGTTTATCTTTTCTGGCTCCCCTGCCCCCTTCCTCTGAGGTTTGTCAGTCTGTTCCCTACTTCCACGTCTCTGGGTCTATTTTGTTCATAATATTCCACAAATAAGTGAGCTCATGTGATGCGTGTCTTTCTCTGACTGGCTTATTTCACTTAGCTTAATACTCTCCAGGTCCTTCCATTTCTCAATCTGAGACTTTTGTAAGAAAGGGTCCCAGGGCAAAAGGGAGAATAGCTGAGAGATGAACAACAGGAGTAGAAAATTAAGAGAGCCATACAGCTGTGCTTCGTAAACTCAAGCACATATCTGAATCACCAGGGAACGTTAAACCCATGATTGGGAACCCCAGTCTTTGATTTAGTAGGTCTGGATTGGAGCTAATTGTATCTCAGTGAGGCAGGCCAGTAAGCCAGGACAAGCAGATTGGGGAAACTGAGACAGTTAAACAGCAGCTTGCGGCCATCTAGTAAATCCTATCTTCCCTAAACCAGAAACACTTGCAAGTAAATAGTTTGTACTTCTCCTCTCCAACAGGAGGGTAAATAGTTTATTTTTACTTTAAACAAATGTTTTTTTCCTTTATTGAGTTTTAGAGAGAGAGGAAGTGAAAGGGAGAGAGAGAGAGAAACGTGGATGAGAGAGAACATCGATTGGCCGCCTCCCACATGCCCCCCACTGGGGGTCAGGCCCACAATCTGGGCATGTGTCCTGGCCGGGAATCGATCCGGTGACCTCTTGATGCATGGGTCGATGCTCAACCACTGAGCCACACCGGCCGGACTTTTTTCCATCTCTTATTCAATGTACAACCTCCCCCATTCCCCTTTTAGTTGGAAGCTATGAGAAAATATGCAAAAGTAATCTTGTTTGTTTAGTAAAAAGCAAGAGTTGAAATTATGATCAAGAAATATTTTTGTAGGGGATGAAGAATAGCCATAAACATGTGTCATTCTCGAAAGTGTGGCCTTCAGACCGTCAGCATCAACAGCATCTGCAGTTTCTTAGACAGGATTATGTTAAGGAAAGGAGATCTGGCCCTTGGTGGGTCTGCCTAGGGCTGGGTCAGTAGTGTGTGGGTTCTTGACTTCATGCAGAAAAAGTTTCACAACACGAGTCTAGGTGAATTTTAGAGGATGTTTACTTAAGCTGGGGACAGTGAAACAAATAAGGGCTGGAGAGACGAGCCCAGGCTGGTCTGCTTTGGCTCACTAAGAAGTCAGAGAAAAGGGGTTTTTGGGGACAGGTTCAGGGGTTTTGTTTGGGATGAACTGCTGCTGCCCCTTGCTGCCCTGGTTGCCAGCCTCCTGGGCCCTTAGAGTTTAGGAGATGCATGCCAGTGTGGGAAGTACAGGGAGGGCACAGGTGTGCTCCTGGGAGGGAGAGCATGCTCTGGGGCCTTCTTTTTGAGGGGTCTTAAAGACTGGACGTTAAGGGAGGTCTTAGAGAAGGATTAATAGCACATACATCAGCTGATATACCAAAATGAGGTTTAGTCTCTTAACTTCATCTGGACTTGGGTGTGGTTGACAAATGGCACTAATTGGATTTCTGCTATCTGTCTCCCTGAGAAGGATGATTTAAACTATTTGCCCCATGGCCTGACCAGTGTGGCTCAGTGGTTGAGCATCGACCCATGCACCAAGAGGTCGCGGTTCGATTCCCGGTCAGGGCAGATGCCCAGGTTGTGGGGCCAAATCCCTAGTGGAGGCATGCTGGAAGAGGCCAATCGATGTTCTCTCTCATCCACGTTTCTCTCTCTCTCTCTCTCCCCCTTTCACTTCCTCTCTCTAAAACTCAATAAAGGAAAAAAACATTTGTTTAAAGTGAAAATAAACTATTTACCCTCCTGTTGGAGAGGAGAAGTACAAACTATTTACTTGCAAGTGATTCTGGTTTAGGGAAGATAGGATTTACTAGATGGCCATAAACTGCTGTTTAACTGTCTCAGTTTCCCCAATCTGCTTGTCCTGGCTTACTGGCCTGCCTCACTGAGATACAATTAGCTCCAATCCAGACCTACTAAATCAAAGACTGGGGTTCCCAATCATGGGTTTAACATTCCCTGGTGATTCAGATATGTGCTTGAGTTTACAAAGCACAGCTGTATGGCTTTCTTAATTTTCTACTCCTGTTGTTCATCTCTCAGCTATTCTCCCTTTTGCCCTGGGATCCTTTCTTATAAAAGTCTCAGACTGACAAATGGAAGGACCTGGAGAGTATTAAGCTAAGTGAAATAAGCCAGTCAGAGAAAGACACGCATCACATGAGCTCACTTATTTGTGGAATATTATGAACAAAATAGACCCAGAGACGTGGAAGTAGGGAACAGACTGACAAACCTCAGAGGAAGGGGGCAGGGGAGCCAGAAGAATAAACCAAAGAACTGTGTGCATATATGCATAACCAATGGACACAGACAACAATACTGTGAAGGGGGAAATGGGAGTGGGGAGAAGGGTGTCAATGGGGTGAAAAGGAGAAACATCTGTAACAAAAATAAAACAGATTATAAAAAAAAGATTAATAGGTGAGACAGTGAAAACAACTGACATGCACTCTACTAAAGAAAGCCATGCCCTGGCCGGTTTGCCTCAACGGTTGGAGTGTCAGCCTGCGGACCAGAGAGTCCTGGGTTTGGTTCCCGCTAGGGGCACGTACCAAAAAAAAAAAAAAAAAAAGGTAGAAATCAGCAGTTAATTGTGGGGCTCTTTGCTAGAATTCAACACAAGTTTTGAGGTAGGAGGGCAGCAATTTAAATTTTAATTAATTTCAGTTGATTACAAATGTTAAATGCATTTAAATGTGTTATTTATAAAACAAACTAAGATTGCAGATGTAAAATACACGTGCATAAAATATCTAGGTAATAAGCTGTTTATAAGACACTTAACTTCTCCACTTCCTCTCACTAGCTGACTTCCTCCTTAAGCAAACATCCAAAGATTTAAGCTGAGTCACTCAAGGAAAACTTGAAATAAACTTTCTCTGGGAGTTCACCCGAAATTGGAGGAAAATTGCCCCTTTCTGCTCCGCTTTAGAACACTTAAAAGTCCAGTTCACAAACCAGTGGACATCTCTAGAACCAAAATTTGAAAAAAACGCCTCAATTTTAAGGCAACCACAGAGCCTCTAGATAAGTTTTCCAGCTTACTGGATAGAGGGCATGATTATCTTAACACAGAGCAGATGAAGATTTATCTATTCGTCCTAACAGGGCTACTCCCACCCACCTTAACGCTTTTAATCATCATCATTTACATTAAAATAGGCGGGATGATTGGTTTACTTGTATTTTTAGGTTAGCTCTTTCCTTCACTGCGTTTTGTTGCAACTTGGGATTTTCTCCCGGTTTCTAGGTTGCGTTTTTTTTTCTGGGCTACTTTGTAGCAATTTTAGAGTTTTTATTATCACCTTCTGCTGGAACCCTTTGGGGGGAATCTAGGAGGAGCTTCAAGCTGTGACCAGACTTCCAATGGACTCGCCAAAGAAGCCTAGCCCACCCTCGACCCCGGAGCCTTCTCCGATGCCTAGTGAAGGGGATTCAGGTAAGCCACATGGTGTCCTTGACTTCAAGGGGTTGGGGAAGTGAACAGGCTGCCTTCCTTTCTTCCTTTTTTTTTTTTTTTATCCTCACCAGAGGATATTTTTCCATTCTTTGTTCAGATAGGGCGGGAGGGAGAGAGAGAAAGAGAGAGAGAGAAACATCGACATGAAAGGGACCATCAAGTGGCTGCCAACCGCATGACCCAACCAGGGCCGGGGACAAACTGCAACCGAGGTACATGCCCTTAGCGGGAACCAAACCCGGGACTCTGGTCTGCAGGCCGACGCTCAACCACTGAGCCAAACTGGCCAGGGCTCTCTCTTCTTTTTAAAAAAATTTTTTTTTTCTTTATTGATCTTTTAGAGGGAGAGAGAGATAGAAACATCGATGAAAGAGAACATCGATTGGCTGCCGCGTGCAAGCCCCTCACTGGGGTCGGGCCCAGGCCCAGGCCCACAACCTGGGCATGTGTCCTGACCAGGAATCAAACCAGCGACCTCTTGGTGCACGGGTCAACGCTCAACCACTTAGCCACACTGGCTGGGCTGCCCTCCTTTAAGTCCCTCCAGTGGGGAAAAAAGAAACAGAGGACAAAGAGGAAAAGGGGGAAAGAGGGGTATTAACCTGCCTTGCTTGCTTACTGTGCTCAGGAATACTTTAATCTTTTAAGTCCACTTTCTGGGGAAGAGCAACTAAAATTCTGCTAGAATGACTCATAGCATCCTGCAGGCAGTATTTCCATCAGCAATACAAGTCCGGAATGGTAAAAAGGAACAAAATACAAGAAACCTAAACTTCAGTTTAACCTAAAGATTTTCTTAATCTTACATTTTCAGGATTGGCTTTCTACCTAAATCTACCCTTTAAGGAATGTTAAACAGGGAAACGGCTTTTCAGGAAATAGAGGGAAGGAGCAGGTTTTAAAAAGCCAGTGAAAAGTGCTGCAGGTCATCTACCATCAATCACCTCCTACATTGTTCAGCTCACATTAGTCAGGATAATAAGGTTTCAGAGTGAGGCAATGTGGCCAAGCCTGGGAGTGGGTGAGGCTCCAAGAAAAATGACACCCCAGAGAAAACAGAAAGGTGGAGACCTATTTAGCAGTATCCCTGGATCACTGCTTCCAAGAAAGTCCTCATTTGTATTGTACAGTACATTCACAGCCTTATTGTATGACAGGACTATGTATGAGATATGCATAATGGTTTGGATGGGAGGAGGCACGAGTTAAGTGGTTGGTTTCCATAACATTGGATTTGAGTAGAAAGATTTCCTACTATGAAAAAGCTGGATGTAACTGGAGAGGGTAACAGCCATCTCCACATCCTAGCTCTGCTTAAGGATGGGGAGAGACTGTTGCAATTGGGGTTTCTGTGGCTATTTCACTGGCATGGTTCTTTTTCCAGAACAATTCAGTAGGTTTCTTTATAGTTGAGAGTTGAACTGCTGAAAGCTGATCACTGAAACATTTTTATTTGTATTAATACTTTACATCTCATTCATATTAAAAATTCACACACAAATGAAAATGCAATAATTGCCAATACCTGGTTTCTGTCCCATAGTTTTCCACTTGAAATCATATACTTAGCTACTTTTGACCCCATGAGAAAAACATAACATTCAGAACAAAAGAAATTTGAGAATGAGCTGTTTTCCGCAGTAGTTGACTCTTAAGCACGTTTCCAATGTATGCTCTCAACTATGCAACATGCTTTACGAGCACAGGAGGTAATGCAAGGAGTATGTGGAACCCTCCACCCTGAGGAACCTCCCTCTGTCCATTTCACCTGTGTAGGAGCAGACCTGGTTTGAGCCCGAGACTAGTGACTTTGGGATAGTGCAGTTTACCCTAATGGATCTTCATTATTATTTTTATAATTTGAATCTTGATTTTTTTTTTTTTATCCTCACCGGAGGACATTTTTCCATTTTTTGTTCAGGTAGAGTGGGAGGGAGAGAGAGGAACAGAGCGAGAGAGAGAAACATCGATGTGAAAGGAACACATCGAGTGGCTGCCACCCTCACAACCAACCAGGGCCGGGGACAAACTGCAACCGAGGTACATGCCCTTAGCGGGAACCGAACCCTGGTCTCTCAGGACCGCAGGCCGACGCTCTAACCGCTGAGCCAAACTGGCCAGGGCTGAATCTTGATTTTTTTAAAATTTTAAATCCTCACCCAAGGATATGTTTTTATTTTATTTATTTATTTATTTTTATTTTTATTTTTTCTTTCTTTTTTTTTTCCATTGATTTTTTTAAAAATGTATTAGCCCTGGCCAGTTTGGCTCAGTGGTTAGAGTGCCGGCCTGTGGTCCGGAGAGACCCGGGTTCTGTTCCTGCTAAGGGCACGTACTTCAGTTGCAGTTTGTCGCCGGCCCTGGCTGGGTTGTGTGGGTGGCAACCACTTGATGTGTCCCTTTCACGTCAATGTTTCTCTCTCTCTCTTTTTCTCTCTCTCCCTCCCACTCTATCTGAACAAAATATCGAAAAAAGGTCCTCGGGTGAGGATAAAAGAAAAAAAATGCATTAATGTATTTTTGTTACAGATGTTTCTCCATTTCCCCCCACTAACACCCTCCTCCTGATCCCAGCCCCCACCCAGCATTGTGGTCTATGTCCATTGGTTATGGTCACATGCATATCAATTCTTTGGTTTATCTCCCACCCCCACCCGTCTCCTTCTTCTGAGGTTTGTCAGTCTGGACCCTACTTCTGTATCTCTGGGTCTATTTTGTTCATCAGCTTATTTTGTTCATTTATTCCACAAATAAATGATAACCTAATGGCTCTTTTTAAAAAAATCCTCACCCAATAATATTTTCTCAAATATCTTCAGATGGAGTGGGAGGGGGGAGAGAGAGAGAGAAACACCAATATGAGAGGGACACACTGACTGGTTGCCTCTCGCACAACCGCAACTAGGGCCAGGGACAAACCACAACCGAGGTCCGTGTCCTTGGCCAGAATCAAAACCATGACTCTTTGGTCCCCGGACCTATGCTCTAACCACTGAGAAAACTGGCCAGGGCCCTAATAGATCTTTCTTTTTTTTTATTAATGTATTTTTGTTATGGATGTTTTTTAACCCAAGTAACTATGAAAACCCCCTAGACACCCTCCTCCTGATCCCGTCCCCCAGTAGATCTCAAATATCTCTTTCCTTTCAGCTGGCGTTCAGGCGATCTCAGAAGTGCTAGCAAAGGACCTTAGTAACTTGACTCTCAAACCTAGAGCCACATTCCCTTCCCTTCCACCAAAACGTTCACCCAAACAGCAGGACAAAGAACAAAGCTTGCAAGGACTCGGACCCAGGCTGGGTCAAAGCCTGCTCTACAGGAGAAGACTTGGAGTGAGGACGGTGGCAATGAGACAAAGGATGGAAAGGGCGTTACTGCTGGCTCGGTACCGCACCCTGTCTCTGGTGAGTATGTGATCTCGGCAGACAACTGCCCAACTGGGAGGGTGAGGACACAACATGAATAGTGGTGAGTAACAGTCATTTATCACCACACTCATGAGTGCAGATGGGCATAAAGTATTCCTTCAACTTCTCTCTTATGGCAGATGTCGATAATCTAAGTTTTTCTTGACAGTTTCTAATAACTTTTTTTTTCTTCCCATTAAGCTTAAAAAAGACCCACAGGAGGGGAAACTTGAGGTAAATAGAAATTTTCTTACTATATGTGGGGTTTGTTTTTTTTTCCCTTTATTGATTTTGAGAGAGGGAGAGAGAAATATCCATGAGAAAGAACATCGATTGGCCTTCTCTTGAATTCCCCACACAGAGGAATGGGTTTGCAAACTGGCCATGTTTCCTGTCCTGCTGTCAAGTCATAAACCTTTTGACACACAGTTCAGTCACTGAGCCACACCAGCTGGACAACAATCTATGATTGGTTGGTTGTTTGCAGATGGGTAAAGGGGAATTGATTGGCGTGGACTTTCCGAATCACAAGTAACTATAGGAAAAAATCAGTTCATATTTGTAGTTTAAAATAGTCTTTTTTTTTTCCTTTGGAGGGACTGGTTCTTTATTTTAAAAGATACTTACAATTTTCAGTATCAAAACAGTTGTGCTATTGATTTTCTTTCTCCCAATTGGCCCCCAAAGAGATCACACCAAAGGAGAGTACATTTTAAGCCAATAAACTGCAGGATGCACACCTAACAGACCTCACAGAAACTTCACCAAAAATGGGGTATTGGGTAGGGAAAGAAACTTTTAAAGATCAGCACACTGCCAGCCCAGGCTGTAGCAAACTTCACAGCCAGATGAGGTGGTCAGTGTGCCCCAACTCCAAAGAAGCAACGTTTCAAAATAATACAAAATTTTAAGTTTTGTACATAAACTATTTAAGATTTCTCCAGCACCAATGGATACGAAGCACAATGAGATGGCACTTTTAGAGACAGGAGCTTCAGGCCCAGAGAAGGGTGATGAGATGAGTTTCATGTGATAAATCAGTGGCAAGACCATAATTTTCTTTCTTTCAAGGAGGCAGGAGAGCAAATAACTGGTCACTGCAACATAAGGGGCACATGATCCATTCTGTGAACCATTGGGAAAAGGGTAGAGATGGGGCAAGGATTTGGTCTCAGAGAGGTCTCACCATTTTAATTTGTTTGGTCACTTCTGGTGAAAACAGAAAAAAGAATTGCCCAAAGATACCTTAAAGGCTGAAACCTGAACATCTTTGTTTTGAGGGGGGAGGGGGGCTAACTTCTCTTGAAATCACCTTTGATTTGGCTGGTACTCTGCACACGGCCATGATTCCCCATAGTGGAGTCTTTCTCTGGGCTCCGACTGGCTCTCAGTAGGGCAGGCCCATACCTCTCTTCCTCCTCTATGGAGAGAATGATATGGATTAAGATGAAAAATTACCTCCTAAAAGTGAGAAAGAAGTTAGACCACTTCTTGAACTGCGGAATTGTTTGGAATATTTTACAAATGGTTGACGCATCAACAACAAAAAAGGTAATTACAAAATGTGTACATCACAACATGCTTTTAAAGACACTTGGCATTGTGCTCACATTCCCTTAAATGTTGTTCCCAAAGGTGCTCAGCCTCTAGCCCAACCAGAATCTGAGGAGATGCAGAGACAGCTTGGAGAAAAAGACATGGGTGGGGGATGGGAGGCAGTGAAAGAAGAAAGCAGCCTTCCAGTTTAAAGATCAGCCCTCAGTTTAAAGGTCAGCTTCAAGCGGGCTGGCCTCAGGCGGAGTCAGGGTCAGAGGAAGGAGCAACAGGCAGGGCTGGATTAGGGTGGCTCTACATCTCATTCAGGTCAAGCAGAGTCTGGTCCAGCATCCTTTGTGTACAGAGGCGTTCCTCTTTGGTGCATTTCAGTTTATCTTCCAAATCATCAATTATCTTTTCCAGCTTGGCTGCTGATCTCTCAGCAAACACAGCACAGGTCTCTGCCTCCTTGAGTTTATCAGTAAGAATCTATCTCTTCCTCATATTGTCTTCTTTTTGAGAGTACCTTTCTTCAGCAGCACTCAGACACCAGGTTCTGGTCCATCGGTCTGATCTACTCATCCATCCCTTGGCAATGGGACTCCGCCAGCTCAGCTTGTTCTTCTGTGCATTCTAAGTCTCCCTCAATAATTACCAGCCACCTCTTCATGCTTCCTGTCCGCCTCTTCTGCAATGTGCATGGTACCTTCTTTGAGCTGGGTCTTCTGGAGTTCTATCTTTTCTTCATCTTTTAAAGCTCGGTTTTCAACAACCTTCATACCTCTCTCGCTCTCATCAGCAGCTTTCTCAGCTTCCTCCAGCTTTTGCAGGGCATTGGCCAGGCGCTCCTGAGCATGGTCCAGCTCCTCTTCAACCAGCTGGATCCTGCGATTCAAAGAGGCCACCTCGGCCTCAGCCTGTTCCTCGGCCGCCTTTCTTCCTCCACTTCCCGCTGGAGGCGCTCGGCCCTCTTTTCTGCATCATCCACCTGCTGCTGCAGAACTTGGATCTTGCATTTCATCGCCTCAACGGTGGTGATCCCGGCCATGGTGCCCACCCAACTCCGGCTGGTGTTTGGTTTCCTGCCTCCTCTGTGCCGCGCTGCAACAGCTTCTCACCCTAGTTCCGCCTGCCCCTCTCTAAATTACCAGCAGTCTTTTTTTTTTTAAGAGCTCTTTTGGCCTCACAGAAAAATTGAGCAGAAACTAGAGAGAGTTCCCATGTACCTCCTGCCCCCATACACTCACAGCCTGCTCCACTATCCCATGCCAGAGTGACACAGTGGTATAGTTGATGAATCTACATTGACACACCAGTATCTCCTAAAGTCTACAGTTGACACGAAGGTTCACTATTGGTATATATTGACTTGTTGTGGGCTGTCACAAACCGGGTGCCCATGACAATACTGTGTAGTACTGGATGAACAAACACCCGAGCACAGTGTCCAGCAGCAGAATGAGTTCCTCACATTTAAGGCATTCAGAAAACTGACACCTGAATATATTTTTATTGATCGACAATCAGCAGCTGCTACCATTACAAAATGACCCACGCTCTGGGTTTCTTTGGTACCCATAGGTTTTTAGTCCTGCCCCCCCCCACACACACAAAAGGTTTTGTCTTTTTACTTTTCTTAATGTAGCATATTCCAAAAGCTATTCTACTAACATTATATTTGAGGGTGTGATTTACCGTTTTATTATTTTTATTAACCCAATTAATCCATTTCATTTTTTTTTTTCAGACTGAATCAAGATTCAGAAGATTTAGATGTAGCTGTCATTATTGCCTATATCATGGAGATCCTTCTGATAATATTAACATGGAGAATAATTATGACATGGAGTTGATTTAGCTATAAATCTTATTCTCGTACTTTTTTCTTGCTGCTAATTTCAAGGTCATTATACAGCAGCTTAAGTAAGCAACTCTAGGCTAGGATAGACTGTATACCAATATTTAGATAACCTATGATAGAAGTTCTGTGATGTCTTTTTCTGCCTACCTTGGTGCCAGTAAATTATAAGGAATTGCGGTTCGCATTTAAATGACTTCAATATACTTCAGATCCTTTTTAATTTGACCCAAAGAAGCACTAATAGGTCTTGAGTGTTGTCATTGTGTTTTAGAAGCCTGAAGTCAGTAAGATAGAACCCAACATCAAGAATTAAAAGCAAGTAACTTGTGTGGAAGAAATGTAAAAAAGAAAACACTGGGTAGGTTGGCTAGGCTAGAGCATGGTTAGTGCAGGGTGCATTAACTAGATTCTCTGGTTTTCAAAATTTTGAGTTGTAACATTTTTTTTAACGTGTTATTTCAATTTTTAGTAGCAAATTTGTGTATAGGGAGGGTATCTTATTAAAATTTGAGATATTTGAGACATTTTATAAATTGTTCTTCATTGTTTTTGGTCTTTGATTGAATTTATTGGGGCGACATCGGTTATAAAATTATAGGTTTCAGGTGTACAGTTCTATAATACATCATCTGTCTATTGCATTGTGTGTTCACCACCCTTCCTCTTAGTTTTTATTTTGTTTTTGTTAGCAATGGACAATAATTCTTATCCTCATCACTATTCTGTAATGTAAATATCTGACATTCTAATATTTTACGATATTTTCCTACTGGGAAGGAACTTTCACATTTGGGTAAGGTTAGAAAACAAGGGAATAAATATTTGCACCTATCAATTTCTTGGAAGAGATGTCAAAAATGGGGGGGGGTAGAAGGGAAGTAGAGGTTTTTGATAGAAGGAAATTAAATATGATAGTGGTATATAATACTAATGGAAGATGCCATCTAATGGCATTTTATTTATTTTCTTTTTTTCATGACTAATCATCTACACAGACTTGAATTTCTTTGGGACACAAAAGATATATACAATTTGTCATCAACCCTCCCACTGTTGTGTGTTAGAAGTATTTTGTTCACTTAGATAAGCAATCCTTTGATTTTTTTTTTTTCTTTTTATCCTGGGCCCAGATATATCTCTGATTTTTATGTGTGTTTGTGTGGTTTGTTTGTTTGTTTTTGTTTTGTGGTATGTGCCCCTAGCGGGAACTGAACCCAAGACACTCTGGTCCGCAGGCGGATGCTCAACCGCTGAGCCAAACTGGCCAGGGCATGTGTTTGTTTTCTAAAAGAAAAGCAGCCAGAGACCTGGGGTGAAGAAATAAATGCTGTGCTGATAATGTTGATAGGTATGACCAATAACCTATTGGTGTTCAGAATGGAGTAGAAACAAACGGCACAGACCTGGAAGGTTGGTCGCAACAGAAACGGCAAAGAAGTTGAACAGCTATGAGTTCTAAAGGGATGTTAAATATTAGCATACACTGCCAAGTTAGGTCTTCAGAAGTTGTTCTACTTAAAGTATTCAAACCATGATCTATCAGCACAGATCAATGTGGGATGGTGTTGAGGTTTTTCTTAAACTTGCAAGTTGCTAGTAGCACAGCCATCTTGACTACTTTTCTGTATGAATCAGAAAATCAGACTAGTGTTTGTTTGTTTTTAATTCTTAGTGATTTTAGAGGAGGTGGGGAGAGACAGAAAAAAACATCAATTTGTTGTTTCATTTATGCATTCATTGATTGATTCTTATATGTGCCGCAACCAGGGATCAAACCCTTAACCTTGGTGTATCAGGATGATGCTCTAACCAATTGAGCTACCAGGCCAAGGACAAGTTTTTCTATTTTATATACAGATAGCATTCTGTGGTAAGGGAGGTGTCTTGAATGGCGAATGGCCCATTCATGGAAGTTCACTTGGTCCAACTTACACTTGTACTTAACCAAAAGGCCGAGAAGCAATCACTTAGTCCAGCTTAATGAAGCCGATGTTCTTCGCGTACCGACAGAAACACTGGCGGCACCCATTCAGGCCGTTTTTCCGGATCAGACCATGCCAGTTTGAGCAGACACAGCAAGAACGAGAACCCTGGCTGAATTTTTTTGGATGGCTCCAGTAGAGTTGTTGGTGACCCATCTTGTTCTCTCCGAAGCAAAGAGGCAAAAAGGGGAGACTTATTTTTCTTTTTTTATCCTCACCAGAGGACATTTTTCCATTTTTTGTTCAGGTAGAGTGGGAGGGAGAGAGAGGAACAGAGAGAGAGAGAGAAACATCGATGTGAAAGGAACACATCGAGTGGCTGCCACCCGCACAACCGACCAGGGCCGGGGACAAACTGCAACCGAGGTACATGCCCTTAGCGGGAACCGAACCCGGGTCTCTCAGGACCGCAGGCCAACGCTCTAACCACTGAGCCAAAGCGGCCAGGGCTATTTTTCTTTTTTTAAAGCCAACTTATATTTACTGCAATCACGTTAAACTCATAAACTAATGAAATTTAATAATCCAAGAATGTGGCTAAATATAATCTATCCTACATGTCCTTTAATGTCCTTCCGATGTACATATTTATGTTTTTCTTCATAGACTAGAAGTATTTTATTTTTTTTGTTACGTGCCCCTAGCAGGAACTGATCCCAGGACTCTCTGGTCCGCAGGCCTGCGCTCCAACCGCTGAGCCAAATCGGCCAGGGCTAGACTAGAAGTATTTTATGTGCATTAGTTTATTTTATCCTCAAAACAAATTTAGAAGCTGCTGTCAGTGTCTTCATTTAGCGGTATTCTTTTTTTTTTTTTTTTTAGTACTATTCTTTAACACATATATGAGAGTTAGGTTTCAGATATTATAACCCTTCACCTCCAGATATTTGTTTATCTCTCAGGAGGATCAATTTCAAGAAATGTATAAAGGAATTGTATACCTTTGCCCATTTATGTTGAACCCTGAATTACTGTATGACTCAGCAAGGATTGAGTTGAGTTTCATTGTGTAATGCAAGCTGAAAATATTTATCTTATTCCATTACATGTCAGCTGTTTGTGTATATGTGCAGTTCTTTTTTTTTCTTCCCCTTTTTGAGTTTTAGAGAAAGAGGAAGTGAGAGAAAGATATAGAAACATTGATTGGCCGCCTCCTGCATGCCCCCCCCCCCCCACTAGGGACTTGGCCCACAACCTGGACATGTGTCCTAACTAGGAATCCTCTTGGTGCATGGGTCAATGCTCAACCACTGAGCCACACCAGCTGGGCAAAACTTTTTTACTTGATCAACTGCTCTTCTCACTTCTTTTTCTCAAGGATATTGTCAGTACTGTCCTAATGTTATGTTAAATGTTAATGGGATCTGAAGCCAGTTTGCCCAAACCGAACCCCTCTTAAGTCTCTGTTATTTTGCCTGACTGCTCAAAAGCATCTTTATCTTTGAAGATCATTAAGTTTTCTAGACTAGCTCTTTGGTTTTATATAATTTTCTTGAATAGTATCTTCAGAGTTCTGGTTCATTATTTTTGATTTCTTAGGCGTGTCTAATGTGTATTTGGGATTGTTTTTGCTTGTCTTTATATTTCGTATCCTCTAATCCTTTCATTGTTTTCACTTAAATTGCCTTTGTTCTACTTCTTGTCTTTACTGAATTCTCCATAGTATTTTCCTTGCTCCTCCCATTTTGTCCTGTCTTCCTCTGAGTATTGCAAGCTCACATTTCCTTAACTCTCGATTTCTTTATAGAGTTAGGGGTCCTTCATAGTTTTGCATAATTTTTTGACTCTTTGACACGTTTATTTAGTGTGATTTATTCTTTCTTTACTTAAAAATTACAGTTGGTATTTATTTTTAATACTACTACAGATATCTCCCACTTTCCCTCCCTTTGCCCCCCTCCACCTAGCCCCCTCCCCCAGTCCTTCTCTACATTATTGTCTGTGTCCATGAGCTAGGCATATATGTTCTTTGGTTAATCTCTTCCAGCACCGCCCTCTGCCCCCCAAACCTGTCCCCTCAGAAGTCTGTCAGTCTGTTCCATGTATCCATGCCTCTGGTCCTATTTGATTGTCAGTTTATTTTGTTCATTATATTCCATATATAAGTGACATCATGTTATATTTGTCTTTCTCTGAGTGGCTTATTTCACTTAGCATAATAATCTCCAGGTCCATCTATGCTTTTGCAAAAGATAAAAGTTGGCTTTTTTTTTTTTATCCTCACCCGAGGACATTTTTCCATTTTTTGTTCATATAGAGTGGGAGGAGGAGAGAGAAACATCAACATGAAAGGGACACATCGAGTGGTTGCCACCCGCACAACCCAACCAGGGCAGGGGACAAACTGCAACCGAGGTACATGCCCTTAGTGGGAACCGGACCCCGGTCTCTCTGGACCGCAGGCTGACGCTCTAACCGCTGAGCCAAACCGGCCAGGGCGGCTTTTTTTTTTTTAATTAGTATTTATATATTTTTTTTCTTTCTTCATTTTAGAGAGAGAGGACATTGATTGGCCGCCTCCTGCATGTCCCTCACTGGGGATTTGGCCCACAACCTGGGCATGTGCCCTGACCGGGAATCAAAACGGCGACCTCTTGGTACATGGGTCAATGCTCAACCACTAAGCCACACCGGCTGGGCCAACGTTGGTAGTTTTAAATATTTTTTTATTGTTGATTCTTTAGGGAGAGAGAGATATTAAATCGCTGCCTCCTGCACTCCTCCAACTAGGGATCGAACCCACAACTTGGGCATGTGCTGACCAGGAATCGAACCTCTCAATCTATGGGACAATGCTCAAATCACTGAGCCACACTGACCAGGAAATAAACATGATTTTTAAAGATACTGATGAGTGTCTGGCCAGTGTGGCTCAGTGGTTGAGCATCAACCCATGCACCAAGAGGTCACCAGTTCGATTCCTGGTCAGGACACATGCCCAGGTTGTGGGCCTGATCCCCAGTGGAGGGCATGCAGGAGGCAGCCAATCAGTGTTCTCTCTCATTGCTGTTTCTACCTCTCTCTCCTTCTTACTCCCTCTTTCTCTAAAGTCAATAAAGGAATTTTTTTTTTTTAATGCTGATCAGTAATACAAATAAGAGGTGTCTCTGAATCTCTTTAGCATCAAAGGAGAATCTTGCCAAAATACTAATACCCAATTTTCTTTTTTTTTTTTTTTTGTATCCTCACCCGAGGACATTTTTCCATTTTTTTGTTCAGGTAGAGTGGGAGGGAGAGAGAGGAACAGAGAGAGAGAGAGAAGAGAGAGAAACATCGACGTGAAAGGAACACATCGAGTGGCTGCCACCCGCACAACCAACCAGGGCCGGGAACAAACTGCAACCGAGGTACATGCCCTTAGCGGGAACCGAACCCGGGTCTCTCAGGACCGCAGGCCGACGCTCTAACCGCTGGGCCAAACCGGCCAGGGCCTAATACCCAATTTTCTAAATTTTCTCTGGAGCACATTGATTCAGAGAACTAATCTGCTCAATACCAGTCTAATAAATGTGTCAGGTTCGTGGGTAGACAGGTTTTTGATGTATGTTCTCCTTCCCTTTTATTAGAGAAGACAGAAGACATGTGAATAGGCCTAATCTCCTGCCCTCTGGTAATACACATGCTTTTCCAGCCGGCTTCTCATCGCATGCCCAGTAGGAGTTAGAATTGGGTGTGCTGATTGTTTAGGGAGAGTGCGTCATTCTTTCTTTGGAAGGTTCTACTTAGGTTTGACCTTCAACTCCCCTCCAGGAGCCTCAGTGAGCTTGGTGCTGTTTGAAAGCCATGGAATTATAACCTATGGAGCAACAGTAATTGAGGGTTAAATCGAGCACACTGATAGGTTTCTTTTATGTATTTTTTATTTAGTCTTTTTTGTTTTATTTTAAAAATTGTTTTTTAAATGTTTTATGTTTTTTTGGAGGGGGTGTTTAAATTTCATTTAGTGGTCTTGGGGTGTTTTGGTAATTTAATTGGGGGGGAATATACTAATGTGAATTTTTACGGTTTAATAAACACTGCCTAAAATCTCCACATTCTGGTAAGACAAGGTTTGCCTGCATCTAAAAGTTCTGAAAAAGACACAGCTCTTTACTACAATTAGACAAATCTAATGATTTAACAGCAGCAACTTGAAATCTAATGAAAAGGTTTAGAGTTCTTCCACGTGGTAATGTTTTCTTAAACACACTGGCGAGCACCTTAAATTCTGGTATAAGCTGTTTGGTTCCAGTCCCCCTTCCCCCCCAAACTGCCCTATTCCCTAGTTACAAGCAGAAATACTGGTGATGTGTTTTCACATAGGCTGGTGAAAAGTGCTTGGTGTTAAGGATGCTGATAACTTCTGTGTGACAAATTACTACAACAAAATCCCTGAGATCATTTTATAGAGAGGCTACTCCAGTGGTCTGACAATGAGCTATTCCTAGTGGCGAAGGAAAACTGTAATAGCTTCAATCTAAGGTCTGAATGAGGGAAGGAGAAGCATCTTTCAAAAACTTCCTTCACTCACTGGCAGACGTGGCTCATTGGTTAAGCATCGGCCCATGCACTGAGGTCACCTGTTTGATTCCAGCTCAGGGCGCTTGCCCAGGTTTCTGTCTCGGTCCTGGTGGGGGTCATTGGGGGGCAGCCCATGCATGTTTATCTCTTCTCCCTCTCTGTCTAAAATCAATAAAAACATGGGTATTTTGTCTGTTTTTTTTTTGTTTTTTTTTTAAACTTTATTCACTACCTAAATCTCCTCCAGTTCCCTGAGAAAATCCCCTGCTTTAGTACTGGGAAAGGTGCTGTGTTATGAGTCTGAATACAATATACATTGTTCTACTAAACCATAAGGACAACTGCTGAGTTCTACTGGACTCTGGCACACCCTTTTTGGTTAGAGATGGATGGTGCAGATCAATGATTCTGAAGGTGGTCCCTGGACCAGCAGCATCAATCACCTGGGAGTTTGTTAGATATGCAAATTCTCAGACCCCCAGCACCGGCCTGCTGAGTCAGGGTGGGGGGGGGGGAGGCAGGGTGAAGCCCAGCCATCTGGGGGGGGGGGGGGGAGGACATCTGTAACAAAAGTAAATTAATACAAATTGAAAAAAAAGAAGCCCAGCTATGAGTCTTTTGCAGTCTGACAACAAGACTGCCAAAGAAAGACGCTT